GTTTTTTCTGAGTGTTCGATCTTTGTATTAATAATTATAACAAACTAGTGGAGTAATTTCACAAAAAAATAATTGAATATCAATTCAATAAAAATTTAATTAATTAGTTAACTTGTTGGACTTATCGGAACTTACCCTGACTATGCATAGCTGAAATATCAATAAACAATTTCAATACTGTAAATCTGGGTTATGGTTTTAAATAATAATATCTCAAAAAATATGTTGGCACTTAGGCGCGTTGCAGTCAGAGGACGGCAGAGAGAGGCCGCGAGGCCGATACGCACTGGAGGGCTTCGGCTGCACCGACTTGGGCGAGCCGGAGCGCGAGGAGGACGCGGGCTGCGGCGCCTCCATGCGCGTGAAGTTGGGCGCGGGGCCGGGGCTGAGCTCGCTGCGTTCGCGCACCGTGCACGGCGAGCTCAGCGACTCGTTCAGGTCGTCGCACCCTGCTGGCCGTCGCAGCACCGTTCAGAGCCGTCGCATCGTTTTCACACGAATGGACGAAACTTAAACTTTTCTAATACTCGCGAATGCTGCTTGGCGAAATTGCAAACTTCGCGATGGAAATAATTCATTATTGTCAAAATTTTAAATTACGACCATTAGTGTTGTAAGGGACGATGGCATGTCGAGTACTTTTAGAATTTGTGGAAATTCCTAGCCTTATACTCCGTCCAACCACTTATTTAATTTTTGACATATGTATGCTTCCGAAGTTCCGTAATTATTGACACACAACCATAGACAAATAAATGCAATACTTCATGGGCTCTTTTATTTTTTAATTTTAGTGAAACGACGTGCTCTTTAGTTCTAATATTTATCGAACCAACAGATTATGTACCGAAGATTATTCAAGTTGATAAATTTTGTACCTGTCTAATAAAGTATAAAGAAAAGAAAAAAATTATAAATAATTATAATTAATTCTTATTGTTTATTATAATGAATTGTTGGATTCTTCTCCATATGAACGGAAATTATAACTTAAATCCTCATTAACATTAATTATTAATTCCTGAGTACACAAATTGTCAAACGCAACATCATGATCCCAATCAGACAATATCTTGTTTTTTGAACCCAACCCACGTTCACGATTTAAATTTCTTCATAAATAAAATCGATTGTTATAAAAAAATCGAATCGGAAACGCATTAGGACATCACTAATTGATTCAAAATCAAGCTGTCAAAAGTTAAATAAATGCTTGGACGGACTCTATGGGGTAAACCCGCTAGCATCGCTTGGAATGTATCATACAAAACATGTTTCTAGCATGGCCGAAATGCGTTTCGGTGCGGCCCAGTGGGATGTAACCCTTAGGCAAACTTATATAAATATACAGGGTGTCCGGCGGTTATACGACACGGAGGGAAAGTACATACCTTAAACATTGTGGACAGGATATTTTGCTTTACGGAGACATTTTGTCTCTGTGGGCGAACAGTTACCATGCTAGTCTGTCAGGCAGAGGTTCCGGGTTCGATTTCCGGCCGGGAGAAATATTTGTATGGCCTACATTTATTTCTTTCGTGAGTTTGGGTGATTGTCTACGTGTGTATGTCCATAGCACCCGCGACACAGGGTTTACCTAGTGCGGGGTTATTAAGAAAATTGAAGTTTAGGAAAATGAATTATAACGCGTTTTTCTGTTGATATTCATACTACAAGATCGCAGGGGCTCATAACAGTCCAGTCTCTTTAAGATTGTTTTCCATATCAGAATCGGCACACATGGATCGACGGACAAAATATAGAGAAAAATACCTTATTTCACATTTGATCAGTTCGATTCCCTGACGAGGCAAGCAACGTCTAAAATTTGGCGAAAGCAGTATCACTTACTTTTAAAAATAAAATTATATCTTCATGAAGCAAAATATCTCATTTTCAATATTCAAGATACTGTACCTCCGAGTCACATAGCCGTTGGACACCCTGTGTATGTAAAAAATTACCGTATTGGCATTGATTAAACATTTTCGAGAAATTCCTTGATGCTGTAGAAACAAATTTATAATATCGAGTTCTTAGGTTTTCGCGATTTTTACATATAGGAAATGAAACTATTTTTCCGGATTTAAATCGCGTATATTTGTTTTTTCAAACAAACCGACGTTTCGGGCCCTTTACAGGTCCCATGGTCACGGTTGACTGAGCTATGGTACAGTCTTCAACCAGTTATGTCTAATATTGATGCAAACTATTATTTTCACTATAGTTACAATGGTTATTAATTAAATACCTTATTTTTAATTTTACAAAGAAAACATTCAATTTTACGCTACATTAAGTTTTACAAATAATTTTATTGAATGAATTTTTATTAAGTTCAATTTATTATTAATTAATAATAGAAATTAGAATAAACTAAAACATGGGTTTGTTTGAAAAAACAAATATACGCGATTTAAATCCGGATAAATAGTTTCATTTCCTAAATTTATAATAATTATAACTTTCTTTTTTATAAAAAAAAGACTTCAAAAGTTCGTGGAATTACGTCTATTTGCCAAGTTTTATTGAAATCGGTTACCGGAAAGTGCGCGAAACCGGACTCACCTCCCAGTTTGCCATCCGTAGAGGCGGAATATTTTCTTCAAATGTAAATGGGATCAATACTGAGGTACCCTCTTTTCAAGAAAAAAATATCATCGAAATGGGCAGCCGGAATAATAGCGTTACATACATACGAAAAAAAAATACAGACGAATTGAAAACCTCCTCTTTTTTTGAAGTCGGTTAAAACTACTTAATATTTTAAATTTCTAAGCATCTTTGTATTTCCTTATGCTTTTTATGTAGCTATATGAAAAACGTAACCACAAAAGGCGTCAAATGTTTAATTTACGTATTATCGTTTTATCGCATTTGAAATTGTTTTATGGCAGTCGAAGTGAAACTCAAAGTGTTCAATTGTTTTAAAATAATTTTAACACTGGAACTTTAGCTATTCTCATGTTAATCGTGTAGCCAAATTTATCGTGTTAAATAGAGTGTTTACACCCATGTTTTACAATTGACTATTTACCTAATGTTTCGTCCTCGTGGTCGTCGAAGATACGGACCTCGTGGTCGTCGAAGACATGGAACATATCAGGGTCTTGTTCCATCTCGGCGAAAGTAAATGTGGGGTTCGGGGGTAAGGATTCTAACTGTGGATTCGTGTCCGTGTCTGGTTGAAGCTGTTTGAAAATCGAAACGTTTAAAAAACAAATTAATTTTTAAATGCCACAAATTGTCGCTTACACCACTATTTACAATTTTGATAATTTATTACATACAACACAAAGTGGAACATGAAACTCTGACTTGAAATATGTAAATAACATTTTCATTTTTATTTACATGCATTGTTGGTAAAAGAAGAAAAATGATAATGGCTGTTAAAAATATCATAATAGGTACACTGCCGTCTCGTGTACGATGATAAGTGGAGCTGCGAAAAAAATTATATTATAAAATAAATAAATTTATTTTTGCGTTGCAAAGACCGACCACAGGACCTTTATAGGTCCTGTGGTCAGTGACCAATTAGATAAAAAAAAAAGAGTTACTAAGTCATTAAAATCATTGAAATTTATTATTTCGTTTTCGTTTAGGGTGAATAAGAAAGAGCAAAGGACCCAAAGCACTACCTTGCGGGACTCTATACTGTATTACTTTGAAATCGCATTTCCATTTCTACTTTTGCTGTAATGTATTTTTTACATGAATTGAAGTCAGCTGAGTCCTACCTTTTTTAATATCATTTTATAGTTTTATGTATTACCTCCTTATGATATAATGGATAGACTTTGTCAAGGTAACTGGCATAACTTCAAAAGCTTTTCTCAGATAAATAACGCACACACACGCACACACTCAACATAGCCCCGCACTAGGCAAGCCCTGTGTCGCGGGTGCCATGGTCACACACGTGAGAGTCAGAATGGCGGGTGTACCTTAACGGCTCCTGACAAATTTGGTATCAAAAAAATGTATCTAATTTGTACTATTTAGTACCTCTGTTTAAAAAATTTGTACCTCCATCAGAACGAAGTTATAGCAATATCACAGGTACACCCGCCGTATTGACTGTCAATATGGCGGGTGTATCTCGGATTACTAGTATTTATTTAATAACTATAAAACTTCTTATTCAAAAAATTTGTACCGTAATAGTACTCTGAAATAAAGGAAACTCCAGCTCGACCCGCTGGAGTTTCTGAGAAATAAGACAAAATATGTTGAGATTTCAGAGCGCCGCCCGTGTGCATCTTAACGAATTCTGACATATTTGGTACCAAAAAAATTTATACTATTTAGTACTTATTCTTAAAAAATTTGTACCTCTATCATAACTAAGTTACAGCGAAATCGAAATTGTACATTTTTTCGTAATTTTTTAAAATAAATTTCCGCTTATTATTTGGGTACCTAGGCAAAGTTCCACCATACAGCCTCTTCATATGTCAGTATTTTTCCTTGTTTTGATGGAAAAGGTAACAAGCGCCTGTTCTTATATAGTTTATTTTATATGTAATGAAGGGCAATTAAATATCATCAATGCCATTTAATTGTGTAGGACAGGATAATCGTAGTTTGATATACATTAAATATTCTCACTAGAATACGTATTTCAATATGTTATTATATTAATAATAAATAAAGTTAGGAAGGGGCGGAGAGTGACGATAATCGTTACTTATTTAGCAGTGCTTTGGTAAAAGGTCCGTCATCTACTGCATTTTTACATGGCACCATTAGAATTAGTTTAAAATCCAACTTCGACTTCCTAGGCCAGTTTAGTCCTACGATGCAGTAAAACTATTTCCGGAAATCCCGAATTCGAAAAGTAGTAATCAATTAATTTTTGGTAGTTTTAACAACTTTATGTCGCTTCTTGTAGCTATATTGTACACAATATGTACATGTATCTATATATGTGGAACACCTTTTTCCGACCATTGCATGAAATAAACTATATTAAGTTAATGTAACCTTTTCAATCAAAACAAGGAAAGATACTGACATATGAAGAGGCTGAATGGTGGAACCTTTGCCTAGGTACCCAAATAAATGGCGGAAATTTATTAAAAAAACAATTACGAAAATATTTACAATTTTGGTACCAAATATTATGTCAGGATTCGTTAAAATGCACACGGCACTTTGAAATCTCAACATATTTTGTCTAATTTTTCTGAAACTAACCAGCAGATCGAGCTGGAGTTTCCTTTACTTCGGAGTACTATTAAGGTACAAATTTTGAGAATAAGAAGTTTTTGTAGTTATTTCTTCTTTCTTTCTTCGTTCTGATGGAGGTACAAATTTTTTAAACAGAGGTACTAAATAGTGCAAATTAGATACATTTTTTGATACCAAATTTGTTAGGATCCGTTAAGGTACCTACACCCGCCATCTTGATTGTCACGACACACACATAGACAACCACAAATTACACCCAAACTCACGAGAGAAATAAATGTAGGCCATACAAATATTTCTCCCGGCCCGGGAATCGAACCTGGGACCTCTGCGTGGCTGTCCGGCATGGTAACCGTTCGACCACGGATGCAGTAAAAAAAATAGATTATACTAAGGTGATGATTTACATTTTGATAGTTAACATGGTCCATAAGACGTAGTGGTTGATGTCATCCTACATTTAAATTTTATACAAAGCCAAATTACGATGTACCTGATGGGCCGCCTCGTCTTGGACGGGCTTTGTGCGTGGCAGCTCCGTCTCCATGAGTTCGTTCAAACACTCTGCAGGCAGTTCGTCCAGGAACTGGTACGGGTCGTCTGGCATGACACAAAGTTTTAGGGTATATCTCAATAACAGTGAAAAAGCTCGAAGACAATGACACAAGAAAGTAGTTAAAGTGCGAGGTACTTGAGACTAGGTGTGCATAAATTTTTATTTCATTGTAGTGCTATGTCATCTCTCTCCTCACACGCACACACAATCATGTTTCAAAATAGAAATACTGCAAGTGACAAATTATGTCACACATACATAACGCACACATGCACGTACACACAAGCACGCGCGACTGCGTAATGCTCACTAAATAATATATGCCACTCTATTTTGTTTGAATAAGCAAAAGCAACTCATCTAAAATGAAATAAATATGTAAATTTTAGATAAAGATACTATGCCTGTTCTGAATGCTGGTAATGACAAAAGTCTTTATTACAAACAACTATAGTGTGGCCCCGTTTATCATTCAAGAGTTGATTGAGATGTTGAAAGACACCTAGTTTTTATTCAAAACACGTCTCTATGATTATAACAAACCATTGAAGTTTGCAATTAATTATCTACCTTCACAAACAGACAATACCACATCCTTCTCTTTGAAGAAGTCATCCCAAATTTTTTCCTCCTGTTGCTTGGTGCGTTCCCTTCGTCTAGCTTTCCATGCGCGTGACAACTCACCACTCTCAACGTACTGTAAACAATTAAATGCATTAACCGGTTAGAATAAACCTTCCCTCTACTCATTGTCGTTTATATTAGGGGTTAAAGTATGAAATTGCCGTTTTATTGCAATAGGTTCTTTGAATTTTCATAGAATCTTCATGGTTTGAGGTTTTCGAATGAAACTTTTTTCAAATGGTTTCTGTGATTTTTTTTTTAATTTGAAACATTTGAATATCGACTTTCAATTGTTTTTGTTATTCAATTTAGACGAGAAAGATGGATACTGCGAAAATTCGAGTGATTTTTGAATACGAGTTCCGACGCGGAACTAACGCGGCAGAAACAGCCCGCAATATCAATGCTGCGTTTGGAGAGGGGTCTACTAATGAACGCACCGTGCGATTTTGGTTTAAACGCTTTCGTGATGGAAATTTCGACTTAAAGAACGAGCCACGAGGAAGACCGCCCACACAGGTGAATAACGATGAATTAAGAGAGATAGTGGAAGCCGATCCTAGTCAAACTACCCAGGAATTAGCGGCATGGTTTAACGTTACCTTACCCACAATATTGACTCACTTGCGTCAAATCAATAAAATAAAAAAATACGAAAAATGGGTGCCTCATGATTTGACTGATCTGCAGAAAGAAGCGCGTGTTGAAACTTGTGTTGCCTTGTTGAACCGGTACAGAAATGAAGGAATATTGGATCGAATTGTAACATGTGATGAAAAGTGGATTCTTTATGATAACCGGAAAAGAAAAATGCAATGGCTGACCCCAGGTCAAATGCCACAACAGTGTCCTAAAGCAAAACTTACCAATAAAAAGGTAATGGTAACTGTTTGGTGGTCTCAGCATGGTGTTATTCACTATAGTTTTCTCCGATCTGGTCAAGCAATAACGGCAGATGTCTATTGTGCCGAACTCCGAACCATGTTGACAAAACTAGCAGTAAAACAGCCCCGACTCATGAATCGATCTTCACCATTATTGCTCCACGAGAACGCGAGACCTCGCACAGCACGAGAAACCATTTTGACCCTTCAGGAACTGCAGTTAGAAACCATTCGTCATCCTCCGTATTCACCAGACCTTGCTCCAACGGACTACCATTTTTTTCGTGATTTGGACAATTATCTACGTGACAAGAAGTTTTTTTCACAGGAGGCAGTACAAAATGCTTTCACACAGTTTGTGCAGTCTAGATCGTCGGAGTTCTATCGCAAAGGCATTAATAACCTTCCCATTAGATGGCAGCAATGTATAGATAATAATGGCAACTATTTTGATTAAATAAATTTGTTAAAAATTTAAAAAATAAACAATTTAGATTTTCAGTACAAATCGGCAATTTCATACTTTAACCCCTATTATATAACGTGTTTAATTTGCCAAAGTGATTCCATTATAGCGTACATCTTAATACACAGTCCACTCGCCAATAATCAAGATCACACCAAGCTTGACATTTTGGACTTATTGTAAGCGGTTTAGACATTGACTTACAAATAAATGGACGACGGGTCTAATACAAAAACCACGAAAAAAATGTCCCAAGTCAACCTATTCGAAATTTAAATTGTAATGTCATCGCAGTATCGCGCTGTCAGTAGAACAAATGAAGACTAAAGCGGAGTGTCGCGCTCTGTATACGATTTTAGCGCCTTACAAGTGCGGACACTTTTTAGCGCGGACCCGACGTCCATATAATTGTAAGTCAATGGGTTTAGAGTTGAATTTATATCTCCAAAATCCTAAGTGCAAAGCTTGATATGTTCTTGACCCTGTAGGTACCAATAGATATTTTTGCTCCTGGCCAACGACGACTGTATAGAATACAATGACTCGACGACAAAAATCATTTAAGTTACCCTTAAAAAGTCACGGGTAATATTATTGGTTAGAAGTTATGGCCGCGTAAGCATGCAAAATAAAAGTGTGGCACATGTTTTAACATAAAATTGAATTATACAGTAACTTAATCTTGTTAACTGTTCATTAGTATAACTTTACCTACTGCTAGCTTTTATAATGGCGTTTTTCTTAAGCAGTTATTTGCGGAATGTTTGATAACTGAAATTAGGTTATTATCGGGGACCTCGATGACACGCCATAAAGCCATCAGTACAGTTGGCATCGAGCCACGGGTGAAGAGTGACAGAAGCGAGCCCGTGAGTCAGCGCTCAGCGGTACGCGGAACCTGTGTGCGGCGGCGCGATCGATAGACACTGCACCCCACCCCGTCTGCACCTGCCCCGGCCCGGCCCGGCCACCGTACCTCCAGCGAGCCGTCCGCTGCACGACAAACAACCACACCACGAAAAAATCCTTAAAAAATCAGTAAAACCAGTGCTTTTATCAAGAGTCAATTTCGTCACTTATGTACTAACAATTTACCAGTTCAAGGTCACGTCGAACGTTGACCCCTGACAAGACTAGGAATAACATCTACCTCATACCGAACTACGGCAATCCGCGGTGCTTATTATGTTTATCGTATTGCGACGTGAAATTTATTTTTAATAATTACGCGGACACAAGGTCGTCTTAAATTCTCTTGTGCACAAATGGTGGATCTCTATCATTGCAAGTTCGCGCGTGCTCTAAGGTGGTTCGCAACAAAGGACGTTGCGCTAATTAGTATACCCTGATTTCGCTGCGAAAGTTCCTTTTGTGCCTTTTATTTCTGCAATGGCATCAAAAGTCCTTGTTCCAGCTGCACCTTTTACTAAACTGCAAGTAAGTTACAGTTTTTACTATTCTTGCGGATATTCATTGTATCCAAGTACTTGTTGTCTTTCTATCATTTCGAGTTTGTAATCAAAGATCTGTGTTTCCTTATTTTTCATAATAGTCAAGTAGATACTACAACTGAAATGTAGTATAACCCGGTTAAGCTACTCATTACCCTAAACAAAGAACTCGGTAGCGGTCACTGACATATCGGAAATGTCATTATATTAATACATCGTAGCTTATTAGTATAAAAAAACCTTCAATAGGGGACTTAAAATAGAACCGATTTTAGCAATTGATTTTGTGCCAAGTCAAGTAACTTCTCATGTATATACCGTTCCAGCTAGCTCACCTCCGTTTACATGTTATAATGCAATTACAAAGGGATTACACATTAAAGAACAGTAACTACGTGTGCACTTTTAGTTTCTTGGCATTATAATTTATTATTCAGACTAGATCCGGATATGAAATATTGGACTCATTAATATTGTTTTTGTTATGTGGGTTTTTATGCATTATTCATATTTTTCAGGTAAAGAAGTCATCTTCTGAACAAGGTGGAAGCAACATCATCATCAGTAGTGGAGATGCAACCGCCAGAATCGCTCATTTGGAGCACAGTGTACGTTTCCTTCAAGAACAGCATCGGTTGATGTTGAGCGGTCTCCATGCAGAGATCGAAGCCCTTAGGGAGCGAAATCGAGGTCAGGGCAGTTTTTAGTTTGACGAAAATTTAATATCTAAGAATAACGACAGACAATGAGACGACATAACATGTCTGTCTTCTTTAGGACTATGTAATTAGGTGATTAAAATTTTGCATCGTTCTGAATAACTGGTGAAGCGTGTTTTGTACTGCACAATACACTTACGTCATCTGGAATCATTAAATCCAACGTGGGACGTTACAATGTAAATAAACAAACGTTACTAAATCTACATACATATATACGATTTCTCGTTTTCCTCTGATATTTCGTAGCAGTATACGCTTCTTGGCCACGGGTTGACATTGATTAAGGGACTACCACACTTATTTATCAGCTTGAGCTAGTCAGAATCCGCTACCGCTCGGATCGCCCACTGAAACGCACATCTTTTTTGCTTTTATTACATGAACATGAAGGTTTTTCTGACCGGCTGAATCGTATTAGATTCAGTGGTGATAAGTGTGATAACTCCCTAATTTAGTTAATAACCACGATATTCTTAAAATCTAGGTTTCCATAGTTTTATTTTTTTGGGAAGACAAAGCATTGAACACTGCAATTAAAAATTTGTTACAGATTTGCAATTCCAACTCATATTCAACAAAGAATCGACACCGAAAATTCCTCCTGCTCCAGAAGATAACGTTGAGTCTAATGAGGTAAATTGCTATTTATAGTATATAAACAACTAAACACACACGAAAAAAAACGATAGCGATTTTGCCTTCTTACTCTCGCGCAGCTGCAATGGAGTGACTCATCTGCGATTTCACTTGTATCGCTGTAAATTGTTTTATTGCTGTCGGTTAAGGTGGTGTTGTTTACTTGCAAGAATTAGTACGTCCCACGCGTAAATAATGGGATGGGATGGGCAAGCAAGTTGCGACAACGGGCCTCTAGTCTATAACTATATTTGTACAGATATATGTCAGTGTGGTGTGATTTAATGAGGACGTTTTGCAAGCGCAACGTACGTTTTTGACGATCAGGAAGCGCTGCGACGCGAAGTCGCCCGGCAAGAACGCGAAGCCGCCGCCGCGCGGGGCGAAGCGCGCAGTGCCGAAGCGAGGGCTCTCCAGCTGCAGAGGCTCGTCGACGCCCAAGCCGAGTACGTGTCACGCCACACGAAGTAGCCGAGCCCGGCCCCCGAAGGGTCGGTCGACGCAGAACGACGTTTTGCAGGAAGTTGCGCGAGCTCGAGCTGCAAGCGCGCGGCGGCGAGCGCGAGGGCCCCGGGGCGGCGGACGCCGACGAGTCGCGCGCGGAGCTGCGCGCGCGCCTGGCCGAGGCCGAGCGGCTCGTGCGGCGCCTGCGCGCGGACGCCGACCGCCAGCGCAGAGAGGTACTCGCCGAGGCGGCCGACGGCGTCACCAACCTCTTGTTTGACGGCGCGCACGCAAGACAAGCACACGTATGTCCCGCACGAGATTCGCCACTTACAGTGCGACAAGGACCGTGACGAACGACAGCGGTCCACGTTTAAGCGCTAGTCGACAGAGTGCGAGCTCTGTCACGTATGACCTTCTCGCCCGCGTTCAGACTTAGCCTTGTCGGATTGTGTTTGCCGCTATGGCGAGTCTACGCTAGGAGCAGAGACGCAGACTTCGGCGGTTCCGTTACGCGAGACGAACAGGTAAGATAGACAATAAAAGCATTTATTAATTATTAAGCACTCCCCAACTGCGACGTCTGTATGTGGTAAGTGTTACGATGATATTACTGCAGTTTGAATTTTTGACGCCCTTTTCTGTTACGCAGATTTTGTGGATCTGTTGTACCTTCGTTGATAACCCGTTTGGATGCCGCACATACAGTATAATAAATCTCTATGAAAACTTTTATGCTCTGGCCACATAAAGGCGGCTGCGGAATCCTGCCGCACTGAAACGCGTTTCAGTGTAGCAGGGTTCATATAAACTCATACATTACAAAAATTACCACGGCCGGAACGCTTCCGCGGCCGCCAGAGCATTAATGTGAACACGCAAAGACGATCGAACAAATCCGCTTGATAGGAAAAGGGCTTTTCACCTCTTACCCCTTTTACGGTAGGTCGTCAGTTTAATTATCTGTTTAATTGTGATTTGATTACGCACCATAGTTTTAATGTGTGTACTTTTGAAATTTATTTTAAAATAAAAAGTTGCACTCTAATTAAGTAGATGAGCTGTATTGTAGTTACAATTCAATGTCATTCGTTCATTCATTCGACTTAACTATCCCGCCTAAATTGAAACAACAATTAAATTGTTTCAAAATTGAATAAAATAATTTTATACTATCTGTCACAGGAGATAACTAGAATTCGTGTTTATAGCGTTAAAAACAGTGCAAAATTGTTACAGTTGCAATGTATGAAGAACTCCTTGCACGCAAGTCTTCGCGCTAGCGGTGTAGAAGGTTATTACCAGAGCAACTACCACTTTCCACCTGTTCACGCACCTGAATTTTGGAGAGAACCACTTCGAGAGTAAGTTGTTTTATTACAAACATAATTTATGAATTGGACTCTTGTTTTTGGACTCCTCGGGCCTTTTTTTCTCATTACAACCA